AACCCACAAAGATAATTGTCTGTAAGTTCAGCAATTTTCCCCCTGAAGTGTTACTAATTTTAGAGGTACTAGCAGAAAGGTTCCCCTAATGCCATCAATTGATGGATTCAAAGTAGTGTTTCCAGTTCAGTCAAATCAATCTCAATCAGGCTATCCCATCTCAGAGGACAATCTCATTTATTAGCAGGTTATTTCAATCTAGACAACAAATGTAATCCAGTTGGTCTGTCCATTGCCATTGCCACTGATGTTAACATAAAAAAGACAAAGCTCCACATCTATGTGCCCAGCCTTATGTACTTTACAAGTACCTGCTATGAAAAAAAAAAAAAAGAAAAAAAAGAGTTATGCCATAACTACTTATTTATCTAACACTTAAAGCACAGACAAACAGGCCAGTACTAGTAAGGAATGTTTTTAATTATCATATAGATCTGCAAAACAACTACTACTACATAATTTCAGAGATGAATAATACATTTCTTTACAGGAAACACAAAACAATACCCGCTACTTAAGAAGTTACAAAACACAACAGTTGCCCTCCTCCCAACCTTCCTTAATCTGCTAAAGATTGAAAAGTGGCCGGTTAAAAGGTTAAGAACTGATTAATATATATGAGAAACATCACAAGCTCAGTTGCCTTATTCCCATAAGAAATCTGCTCAATACCGACAAAAACAGACTGCTTTCTATTTAAAGCTATGAAATTAATGGAAAATTCGCAGCTTGAAGTCTTTTTCACCCTCCAAGCCAGAAAAGTGACAATTAAACCAAGTGGCTCTGTGTAGCCCCTGATGTATCTTATCCATAATGAAACTGCAAAGATGAAAGTTCTTAGACAGATAATAAGTGCATGTTATGTAAGAAATGTAGACTAGGAGCTACCTAGATCAGTCTGAACCCAGGAGCGTGTTCACACTTGGCAGTTTTGGAATTACTAGTACGTCAATATCAACAAAAATGACGCAGGCAGAACTAGCTATAAATAATAGTCAAGGCCCAACAAAGAATAATCCCCCCCCCCCCCCAAAAAAAAAAAAAAAAAAAGTCTTGCATAATATTTTCCAGTAGAAAAAGCACCAATGAATAAATAAACAGTATCCAAAAATTGACACGGAAGAAGAAAATCACGGTTTACACTACTTACTAGTACAACTGTTCTTGGCATATATACAGTATATATTACGCACCAATTCTTGTTATATAGCAGCCCTATATACTACTGTAAGCTACTAGTAGTACCTGCTGGTTCTCTTGGTTATCTCACCTGTGTACAGCTGCTGTTCTGCTCAGGTGAGCATATTGGAGCAAAAATATAATTATAGTCATATATACACGTATTATACACATAAAAATAAGTGTGGAATAAAAAATCTTCCTAAAAATTGTACCAAGATTTTTTTTTTTTTTTTGGTTTAAAAAAGTATCACTAGAAGTGTCCCAACTACATTTTTGTTAGAATAGTGAGTAGAGTTTCCAGCCTAACACGTATGGTCAAAGATTTACCCCTTAAATACATAAATGGTAAAGCAATAAAATTACAGACAAATGCACACAACTGTATTGAAAGTATATTAAGTTCTCACTATTTTTCTTCCCTAGCTATTACCTGAATCAGTGAGCTGCAGAAAGTAAAAAGAAAGCATGTTATTTCTGTCTCACCGGGCAGGTTCTATTCAAAGTACACTTACAATACTATTACTACACCTAAAGAATAAGTTTACACTGTAACACTACCTGTATTTATAAAGAATGGATGAACCTCAGCACTGTGTAAAGTATACAGATCACTTTGTAGATTAAGGCTGCGTTCACATGAAAAATCTATTTTCTAAAAATCTATTTGCGGTATCTTGAGATCACGGTCTGTGCCCTGAATACCCCGCGGCGTAATTACTGGCATCGCCGAGAATTAATTGCAGCTTTGGAGGTAACCGGCTCGCGCTGCCCGTAATTACGCCGTGGGGTTTTCAGGGCACAGACCGTGATCACAAGATACCGCAAATAGATTTTTAGAAAAAAGATTTTCCATGTGAATGCAGCTAAACATTCACTACCAATATATGATGTTTTTTTAGACTAATTTGAGTGTAGTTTTTCCCCTGTTTAAAAGATAAGTTATTCACTGCAATTCAAAAACGAACCTATATGGATCAATAATAAATGCAGTTAAGGAGTTTACTGTAATACTTGCCTCTTTATTAAATGCATTTCTATGGAGATGTTGCTATTTAGAAATGTATGGAGTGGAGATTGAGCAACTCCAGAATTTGTCCATATTTTTTTTTCCGATGATAAAATATCTGCATTGCATTGCTTTACGAGTCCATATTTTAATTTATAAAATAATTAATGTATCTTTTGAAATTGACTCTCTTATGAATTCATGTATTTTACAATCATTCTCCAACATAGGTGATTGCCATGTAAAGCATTCACTAGTCTGTGAATTGGTGAATGTAATCAATATACGCCTATGTTATCTAATGAAGTTTTTACATATCAATCTATGTGAACTAATCACTGTTGATTTCATGCTAAGGGTAAGCAGTCCAGTTCTGAACTGTACTAGTTATATTACAAGACAGGTTCACTTGTCTAATTCTTGAATTACTTCATTATTTAAACTCACTTCTGTCAAAATGAATAACCATAGCGAGTCCTGCATTTGCTTAAAATATTATACTCACATGAAAAAATGAAAAATACTAACTTGCACACTATGCATATTTGGCTATACTAAATAATAACTAAATGCTACACTTCCCAACTTTATAAAGTTTTAATTGCTCTGGCTGGAAGATTTCAAATTTTGCCTTGACGTTGTGAAAGTCTTACTAGTAACTGCATGGTAGCAGCTAGTCTATCAAGGCAACCAATATCCCAAACAGCACATTAATCTCAGCTTTGGTGTGATTTCAAGAGAAAAGAAAGCTCGTTTATAAGCCAAGTGTTAACAGGCAAACAGAAAGACCCAATAGTAGAAATGTCAATAACATCGGCACACAGTTTCTCCCTAATCTGATTACAATGTTCTCCTGTTAGCTTATCTGATTATGCTGTGAAAGATTATGTTGTTGTTTATCGGAAACAGATTTAAAAGCAGTTAACTGACAAAACAGCTTGCTTGTATTGTGCAACTACTGTTGCCAGATTTAACTGGCACATTTAAAATGGGTTGAACTTGAAGTGTCCAGAAGAGGAACAGAGATTTTTGATACCATTTTCAGTATATATAAAGTAACCAATAATAACCAATGCACATTTGAATGACCTGTAACTGTTGGAGCAAACATGAAACTACATATACTATTAAAGGGATAATAACTCTTCGTACGAGATCTATATTTCACAATAAAAACATTGTGAATAACTCATAGAAATATAATATATTCTGTTTTACCACAAAAATGGCAGTTATAGCTATTATTCTGCTATCTGAGTTTGTCTTTAGATCACGTGACCTCCATTGATGGCTATACTCTGTTAAAATCTCTTAAGAGATTTTAACAAAAAACCAAACTTTTTAGAAAAAAAACAGGGACTAACTTTGAAAGTAAAAATGGATTCATTAACCATTGGTAAGTATGGGAAAATTGTTGTTTACTCCAGGAAAATTCATTTTTTGGCCAAAACGAAAAGTTATTATCACTTTAATAATATACGATAACATAATGGTAATTGGCTTCTGTTTCTTGTTATCAGTTAGCATATCTCTACTACTTTTACAAAAAATAAACAAATAAACCTGAGTCTTATCTGAATTTCATTTTTTCATAAGTTCATTATTAGTCTTAGACGTGTAGAATCTAGATCTAAGGTTTGTGTCAAACGTGAAAAGTGAAAGAAGACAAGCTTAGCAGGAATTCTACGCAAAAACCCAGAAATCTCTAACAAGTCAGTGAGTAGAGATGAGTAGAAACGAAAGCAGCTTCAGCGGTGAAAGCAGACATCGGAAAAATCCTGAAAACGTAGAGCTCTTGCCATTTCTCATCGCATTAAGACCACATTAAGAAAAATAACGATAAAAATTAAGACTGAAAATCCTGCAATAAGGCATAATCATGAAAACGTTTGTCCCATGCAGCCTAGACGTGAAAATACTTCACCGGTGTACTGGTCTATCACTACTGCCAGTACTGCTACTTCTGCCCTAGACTTCAGTACGAGAGGCAATCCAGTCAGCCGAATAACATGCTAGTCTGTTCATCAGCAAAATAATTTTCAACAATTCCACTTAAAACACTATCACTTGCTTTTGTCTCTGGTCATCCAAGAAACAATATTTTGTGATTATATTTTAACTTAATCTTACCTGTATCGGCTAGTTCAAGAAGAAGTCCGCCTTTTCTCTTCACTACGAACAACTTTGTCTTGACCTGTGCAACTGAATGAACAGCCTCAATTTGAACGCTGACCTCGTGACCTTGACCTTAAAATTTCACCTGCTGGCGAAAGCTACTTGTTGCATTGCATTAGATGCGACTTAGTGCAATGGCAGTCTCACCTATAGCATCTATTTGATCCTCTCTGCCTGCTCCATGGCAGACTGAAATTGGGCACTTTGGAAGAAAACTGATTGACTGCATTGTATTAAACTTTTAAAGAAGGCACTTTTTTCCTTGTAAAAAATGCACACTTTGAAGAACAATGGCATCCATAAAACAATGTGACCTGAAAATTGGTCTAGAACTTTAGATCAAATTCAAGTCCACAGTAATACAAAATAAGTAGGGGTGCACTAAAAATATAAATACTGTCTCCTTGGTAATAAAGGAGAGGGGGAAACAATGCCTCAAAGTTGAATATAATTATAAAATATTATTTTGACAACTACATATGGATTTATCTTTAACTCCAGTAGACTGAATTTGGGTCAAAGCAATAATGCTTATTTTGGTACCATAATAATTTTGTGTAATGGATCCTATTTTTTTTTTTTTTTTTCAATACAACTAAGTCATTAATGTTTCTGTCAAGTTACAACAAAACGGAAATAATAATGTCAATATAATTTATTAAAATATGTTGCATTACAATTCAAAATGTAATATTAGGTGAAATGCATCACTTTAAACCAAACCCTTCACATCATTTCAGGCAGTTGATCTAACGATTTTTCGCCTCAGCTCAACTTGCATAATCTCTATAATCCACCTTACAAATACAAATATTGCCATGAAGCATTTTCAGAGGTTTGCTTTCGTTTTAATGCAGAGGGCATAGCAGGTGTGGAAAAAACACTCACTCTACATTCCTTTCCTCCATTAAATCTAGTAAGTCTACTGATAATCAACCTTTTTTTACAAAGCACTGACACCAGGCAAGAAGTAATACTCTGTCAACCCTTCTGAACTGTGAAGAGTAGTACTGTATATAAGATAACATATATATATGTGTATAGGGATCAGAGATAAATTTTGATTATTTCACTTCACCAATGCATTTCAAACAATCAGCATGAGCAACAAATAACAGCTTTTAAACAAAATGTACACGGAGGTTCATCCCTTAAAATATATGGAATGAATCCATAATTATAATCAATGACGGTACTACTATACACTTTGTCCCAAAAAATAATTACTTCAATTATGAAAGGATTAATAGGACTGGTATTTTAGGGATGGACCTTTATTATTTTTACTTTTGAATTCATTTTAATCATGAAATATATGCACACTATTCAATGCAATCAACAAACAACTAAACAACAATTTAACAACAATCTGACATCAAACTTGTGAAAATATTTCCTCTTTGTAACTATCTATCTTCAGAGTGTAATGGACCTTCAGTTATTTAAATACAAATATTGTTTTGATTTCAGGCTTAAATATTAGAAAATAATTTGTCATAAGTGGAAATGGTAAATACATTTCATACAATAACACTTGCTGCACCAAAAAGCTATTATCTGAGCTTCAGGTCTTTAAAGATTTTACCTATCAACAAAGCTAACTGCTTTCCTGGTTCTGTCCTCATGAAGCTATAACACTTGTGATATATGAAAACGTGAACAAAAAGATGATCAGTCTTAAAATGTATTTCCGGTCAAATGATGTCCCACACTCCACCTGGACGCCATCTATAATTGCATCACTGTCAAGACAGACTCATCCTAAGCATCAAATCGTTGATACGGGGTGTCTTCCTTAAAAAGACCTGAAAAGATAAAATAATAAAGTGCATAGATTCAAAGGCCCAGGTGAACTCGCTAATTGTTTTGAAATTTCCTTCTGAATCAATAAATCTAGTAAATTTGGACAACTATTTGCCATTTTCCTCAGAAAAATAATCAACATTTTCTTTGAAACTAAATTGTTCTTATTTTTTTCGAATTATACATTAAAAAAAAAAAAAGGGAGAATTCTCCTGCACTGTAAAACATTTGGCCTTTGCAAGACACTCTAGCTTGGGTTTTACAATACTAAAGTTTAGAAATGATATTGCAGCTTTAAATGCTACTAAATCAATAATTTCTGTCATGATAACAAGTAAGTTAATCATTAACAAGATAAAGGTGTTAAAGTGCCCAATGTCTGCCTCTGTGCATTAAATAGAGTGAAGGTGTGGACAGCACTATTTTGGCAAATCTGTTTAGCGAATTGCAATAAATCATAGCTTTTAATTTATCTAAATATCACATCTGATGTGGATATTTGTATGATTTAATTAATACTGTAATAGTGACTGTATTACAAATTAAAAATTAATGATTTATTCCTTTCAGCAAAAATTAATCAGCAGCTTTGACAATGTATATATGTCAACTGACCAGCAAAAAAATTTTTTGCAACTAAATTAAACATAAACCACTGCATACAGTGGTATTTAATACAACTAAGGCATGTAGAGTTTCTTCCTGCCCTTTCCTGAGGAAAAGTTCAACTAAACCCTTGCCTCATGAGATAAATAAAACTTAATGCCAAACCAGAAACCATGTGCAAGATAATAGCCCTAAAACCTACTTAAAAATAACCAGAAGTATCACATGAAGTCCTCCTGAGAACAATTTTATAGACAATACAGGGGCGGATTTAGGGCGTCTTCTGGGTCTTCCGGAAGACGGTCAGATTTTCAAGTTTACATTGACGGGTATCTAATTTTATCTGTCGGAAGACGGTCAAAAATTGAGGATAGATCAACAAAGATAATTTGGAAGACTGTCAGAAAATAACTCTGGATCCGCCCCTGCAATACCCCCATATTTCCTGCTGAAAGTCTGAGATAAAAGAGTTTTATGACAAGGTAATCGCTCTACCTTGAAATCTTACGCACTAGAGATTTCAAAATCTGGAATTGTGATGAAACACATCCTGAGCCACATGGCTTGTCTGTTTAGACAAAACCCACTTTGAATTTAACAGAAATTTATGAAAACAGTTCAACTAATACCACCATAAAAATACTTAAATTTTGCCAGCAGTCTGATGTTCTGTAATTCAAAAAGACAGCTCTGAAAAGTTTCAAACCCACTCTTTATAGATTCAGAACGAATCACCTCAATGAGTGTCATGCATTTCAAATCTTGATTATTTAAAATCCAACTGGGATGTTTGTCCCATTTCCATTTAAAGTAGCCCTTGTCCTAACAGACCCTTTCAAGCTGGCTAGATTCATACACCTGACTCTAGCCTTTGTGGTATCAAGTTAGGATGAAGCCTGTGCAGAGCAATAATAGTGAATACTATCAAATAAATAAATAAATAAATAAATAAATAAATAAATAAATAAGGTAAATTTATTTCTAAACAGAAAGGACACAGTTACCAACAGAGGGATAGGCATCAGAGTGTTATCAACAGCACTTCAAAAACACAAATAAACAGAAGGCTAAAACATGTCAACAACGTGACAAGTGAAAGAGACAGATATAATTCTAAACCATAGGAACTGTATTCTCAAATCTAAAGCATAAACCTCCAAACACAAGATATAAAATGTGCCTATCAGTTAATTCTGTCAAGGCTTTTATAAATGTGGCACAAATCAAAAAGTGAAAACACTCAATTCTCAAAATACAGTTCCATGGCCATGAATTTTATGTGCTTTATCTTATGTCACTAATTTGATATCCTACCTCCTTTTTGTAGTCCTGAGTGCAAGGATGAGAGACAAAGGTTCATGTTACTACACTGATAGATATATATATTGCATGCTTTACTCTTTTTGCACCCCCTCCCCCCTTTCTTTATCAAACCCCCAATATTTTCATTTGGTTGACAAAAAACCATCTCATTTTATCCCAATAATTCTAATAATTGTCAATATCTGATCAAGCCAAATGTACAGCATTTCCCTTTCTGAAACAACTAGTATTCTATATTATATCATTTTTATTGCTATTAAAAATATAACAGCATTAAGAAATGTTTAATATATTTTATTACTGGGCATATGAGATAAAGGTATTGTTACAGATGGACAAAGATGTTACAGAAGGGGGAAAATGCTGTGGAATTATCTATAAGACAACAGCAGTGTACTCAATATCAAATTGTCAAGTTATCTTTACATAGTAAATGCTTCCTATACACAAACAGAGCCAGTGCAGTACACAAACATTCAAACTAGTTCCATAACACTGGACAGCGTTTTTTCTCGCTTTCTTTATATCTACTAGGCAGTCCAAACACATGAAAGTCTAAACCAGATATGGGAAAATGAACATGCTAAAAATGGAATAGTTAATAGCCCGTGCAGTTGCTTACCATATTTCTTTCTGATGTCATCATATTTGCTCTCCCGCTCTTTGCGCCTGAATAAAAAGAAGACACTATTACAATCCAGTTTCGTTTACTTTTCTGGGATAGCGCTAGCAATTATTTTCGCTTAGCCATATCATCACATTTTTGTCAATTTGTTATCAAAATGGTTATAATTTGGCGAAAACATGTCAAACCAAGCCCTTTTTCTTTAGCCAATTTCAGTCAGTTTTAGCATTTGGCTAAATTGGCGAGTGTTAGCGCTACCCCAGCTTTTAATCTTTTCTGGCTTTACACATCAATAAGTTCCCTGCTGTGAATCAGAAACCAAATGCATGTTTTAAATAAATTTTGAATATTAGTACCAAAATACTTACTTTTCCTGGTGTTTGATCTGTCTTTCTTCCCTCTCCCTTTCATATTTGGCCTCCATCTTTCTTTCCCTAAAATGTCATTAAGAGCTGATTTTTTTGTACACAAATTTAAATATAAATCTAGAAAGAGTAATGGCCCATTAAATGTCTTTCCTATTTTGCATTGCCACGGTGATGTGAATGACAATCAATAGCCTCATTGTTCAGTTTGGTTTTGATATCTAAAAGCATCCCTACTGCAATTCCTGGCATCCTGTTATGATACTACAGGTATATAAATGTCACTGCAAATTGTTTTTCCCCCCATTTCATCTAGTAACCTTTACGTAACTTCCAAAGCAATATGCTTCATCAATTCATTAAGAAACCAACAATCTCAGCTTAAGCGTGTTTTCTGATTGCTAATTCTAAAAAACTTTGAAGTGAAAACAATTATTCTAAGACTTGTTGTACATATTGTCACCAACAATCCGCTCAAGAAGCTTAAACCTATTGCTAACTCATATTTTGTGTGTACAACATTTATTCACTATTATCAATTCCACTCACGACTTGCTCATTCCTTTCTTTCCTCTACAGCAGCAACAGTAGATGCAGCAGCCACAGGTTATCAAGATGACACCTGCCACAACCGCCATGGCAATGATCAGGGCTTGGAAATTAACTGAAATGAGACAATATTACCAATAAGTGAGGTAATTGCACTAGAAAGTAATCAGAAGCAATGGGTATTATTAATATCTGAAAACTCTACTCATTTGGGAGGAAGAACACTTGACAACTTAAAAGATGCTTTTAAGGAATGGTTATTGCATTGGAACTTGTATAAATTTGTATGGAATGCCTCATATAGATTTAGTATACAGAGTGCAGGTGAAACAATCCCCAATGCACTGCTGGCAAGGGTCTTGACAGATCTTTGGGCCAATATGGCCTAGTAATCTTTCTTTTAAGTTAGCAGATAAGTATTAAAATTATCATCATTCTATACATAATTTGGTGTGCAATGAAAAGAAAATAAGATCTGTAACTTTGGAGAGTCATTATAAAGACCACTTTTCAATTAACTAGTTAATAGTTACTGCTGAAGTACTTACAAAAATTTTTCTTTGTGCCTTTTTTTTAAATGTGGTTATTAAAATTACCATGTGTCAAACAGAGTCGTATATGTATCTAACATTAATACTGATTTTATCATCTCATGTCCACTAAACAATATTTATTATAATTACCCTTATAAATCAACAGAACATAGCCCTTCACTATCTTGCTTATATTTTTCTCAATATAAAGACATCAATAACAGAAAGGACACTGGTAAATAATCTAATACATCTCCATACTACTTACCAAGGCAGGTGCCCCACCTGGCATCATTAAGGGGACAATTGGAGTTGGGAAGTCCCATACTCCCTGGGATATACTCTGTACATGACTTGTCCTTGCTGCAGTAAAGGCACTAGAAAAATGCACAGGATAAAATATTGTAAGAATTCTATAGAAAGAAAAACAACGGCACTATTAATAAAGCAATTAAGTTTTTTTCTTAACGAAATTAAATTTGGAGTTGTTACAAATTTGATAGTACAGTAATATTGATACAAGTGATGATTTCATTAGAAACCAAAAAGAGATCAAACATATTTTATAGAGATTCTCAATTTCATGTCAATGAATATCTTAGGACTTCTTACCTTTCCTTGTAGAGCTGGGTTAAGGCAGCCAGAGGCATCACAATCCGAACCATTATGCTGAGCACATCCTGTAACAGAGTCAAATTAACACTAGAGGATGTTCATATTATCATCTTATACTTAATTCGAGACCAACGGACTGGTTTCCACATTCAGCATGTATATCATGGATTCCGTTTCATCAAATATAAGAACTGCTATTGTGTAGGATTTCTATACCCAAGAGCCTATAAGAAGTATGTCTTCTTATTCCATTCCTGTTCCCTTTTGGAATTTTAATTCATCTATGTTTTAGTCTTCTACTCCCTTGCATGTCAAGAGATTTAAAGGTGTACAATGTAAGATTTAACCATAAAATAATTGTACTTAACACAATTTCTCAACAGCAAAGGTATTTTACTCCAACAAATCAACCTTTGACTTTTCTTTCAAGGAACTTTTCATTACTCTGTACCAATCTCAGTACACTTTAATGTCCCTGACCCATGCAAAAGTATTTTTATTTTATTTATTTTTTTTTTCAATTTTTTTAAATCCTTGTCATCTCAATTCCAGCAATGATTTCCAGATTCCAATGATATAAAATTGTGTCAAGACTGAAGATGGTTGACATGTGACATGGTTTGGCAGGAGGGGGTACATTTGATTACCCTTCCTACCAGTACTCCATTGATTCAAGGCATTTCTAGGTTACATTATCACCAGTAAGTATTGCTTGTCTGCAGATAAATTCAAAAAGAAGTGGTTTTACTTTTTTTTTGTCACTTTCATTTTAACGTGTATCACAGACTTTGGCCAACTGTAACGATTACAATGAAACACATCACATTCAGATGTAAAACTCAACTGGATGCAAAAAAAAAAAAAAAAAAATTTTAAGTCTGAAAGCAAAGGACACTTTCACGTGAAGTTGTAAGGTACACATAAGTATGGGGGGAAGTGAAATCACTTTTTTAGTTTAGAAAAAAGTCGAGTTTTACACCCCCACCCTCTGCGTTATAAATTTTGATTACCAGATTTCACGTGATATTTGCGAAGCTTCAAGTCCAAACCACCCCATTAAAATACACTACTTTGTACACCAACTAAAATAATTTTCCATCCAAATATAATCGACACTGTGTCGTACATTTAACACTACATTATACAGCACGTTTACTTACTTTCTTTCCATGGCAAAGCTGTTGTTCGTGCTGTACTTTGATCAGTCGTAGTACTAGTACCTGCGCGAGTTGAGCCAGTTGTCACTGTTGTGCTTTCTTTCGAAGATGACGTTGATGTGGTCGACTGAGCCTTCAACAAAGTCAATAACACCACAAAAACAGAGACAAAAAGTATGATCTTCATATTCTATACTTGTCAAATAACCAATCGATGCACTTTCTATTTTATGAATGGTCCTTTCCAATCTAAAATTAGGCTGTACCGTGATGACAGTAACTTCCTACTTCTAACTTCTTCACTTCTTCAGCTCTTTGCTTTGTCAACAGACGTAGACACACGCATGCTATAACGCGACAATAGCTAGTGCGAAATTATATTGTGTATTCTATGACATTCGTAAAGTTATATTGATGGCAATAGTATACAGTAGAGCAGGTGTGAGGCATTAAGTAAAAAATTCAGATTTGATGCCAAATTGATTGAAGTCTTATTCAGTCTAAAACTTTACCGTGACGACTGCGTATGGATATATTATACCCAAGTTCAAGGTCTTTTGCGCTGACTAGACGGTCACATCTAACACAATTATCGCAATGTTGAACGACCTGAACAATGCATTAATAGAGAAATGAATAGGAGATATATAAAGGAAAATGCACCAAAATATTTTTTAAAGTGGGAATATAACTTTATTTTCTACTTCTGTAAAAACCCAAATAATTTTCATGAACACAGAAACAATTTGGGAAAGATATACAAATTTATTATTACCAATTTCTTGATTATTAGATGCTTCCATCCAACACTATTTCCACAATGAATCCATTTAAATATAAACATAATTAAATTACCTGTCGACTTATAAAATATATGTCTACATAATGTAAAACTGCCCTTAACTAATTGATAACATCAAGAATGTATTACCTGGTAACACGTTTATGATAACAGTCACGTATAAAATCTACAGACAGTCCAACTCAAATGTTCCAAAATTTCTCAAAAAAAAAACAAACAAACTTTGCTATATTTTTTTCTATATCACAATAAATCACGTTTACATATAATATTCTGAGATGCTAACTCATAATATCTCATTTATATGAAAATTATCTAAAATATGATAACAATATCAATATAACAAGAGTACAGTCATATAAACTACCAGTATAAGACATTAACAAAGATATCCTCTTTTCTTTTTTTTTTTTTTTTTTTTTTTGCAATATTAAAAAAAAAATTGTCAGTTTAACTGAAAGCAAAAAGTTCAGAGTCAGGTAAAATTAAAGCTTCTTTAAACACTTTTTGTTTCAAAGATACATTTGAAAAAATATTCCTAAACTTAAAAGTTAACACCAATTTAAAATATTCTAATGTTAAATAAGTAAATACAAAATGTTAATATGAAAACTGTAAATTGAGTTGAGGTTCATCATAAAAACTAACACAGTGATACAATACAGCATACATACAACAAAGAAAAGAAAGAAAATGAATAATTGTTTTCTCAATGAATTAACCCACATCATTCCAATATCAAGAGTGGCTAATAATGTATTTTATTCATCTTCAATATCTTTCTTCAAACACTTTGATCACTAAATGGTGCACCTCTTTGAACTGAAGTCTGTGTGTACTGCCTTTGTGTAACAACTGGAGTGGAATGAGATAAATACATTCATATATATATACAGGCACTACACAGTTTTACATAACACTGACCACTGACAGTAAAGCACCAGATTCTTTTAAAATCCTTTACTTATCTATTACCAACCAAAATCACTCTCCCCTTTCCCCTGCATTTGACTTGCATAATCACTAACTGAATAGCGTCCTGCTTAAAACCAAACTCACTCATACAGGCAGATGGACCCCCCCCCCTCCCCAGCATGTCCTGGGTCCTACTTCACCCAGTTCTGAAGGCAAATAGATTCTACTTTTACCAGTGTGTACACGTGAGTTAGAGGGCATTTCCAGAGATTTAGATCGATCTTACTAGATCGATCGACCTAACTCCCTGGGGGTTCACGCTAAATTGCAATCAGCAACACAACAGTTAATTACCCCCTTACAGCTTGTAGTAGGTGGGACGGACATTTAAGCCGGATTATCTGACTGCAATCTAGTGAGACTCCCCACAGGGATAGATCAATCTAAAGTCTATGGGAATGCGCCCTAAGTCGAAGCTGCACTACATCCAGGATATCTTTCATAATGTTATCTTTGCATTGAATTTTGAATGTTATGTTAAATTGAACGTTGCTCCTTCAATGCTCACATGCAAACAGAAAACATGTTAATTGTCTTACCATTTCAGAACAGTTACAGTACCCTTTTCTAGAATCTGTCCCTCTATTGCTATATCAAGTCCAAGCTAAAACAACTGAAGTCTATGATTTTCCCTATCAGATACCACAACCTGTCCATCAGCCATGACAGCCACACCCTCTATACCTTTCAACTGTCCATCACCACTCCCCCAGCTGCCAAACGAACAAAAACTTTGGCCATTACTCCTGAAAACCTGTATTCTATTATTGCCACTATCAGCTACCAGGATAAAGCCCTGATCATCCACAGCTACTCCTCTGGGGTATTTCATCTGACCAGGGTGGACACCAACAGAGCCAAAGGTCAACAGGTGGTGTCCATAAGTGTCAAATACCTGTACACGATGGTTGCTGCTGTCACTTACAATAACCTTATTATCTGGACTGACAGTGATATAATAAGGATTTTCGAACTGGCCATTTTCACTGCCCAAACTGCCAAACTTTCTGACAAAAGTTCCGTCCAGCTGAAACACCTGTATCCGATGGTTTTCTTTGTCACAGACATAAATGAAGCCCATGTCATCACAGGCCACACCCCATGGATAGCTAAGCTGCCCGTCACCATCACCCTCTTCTCCAAATTCCTTAACAAAGTGACCATTTCTGTCTAAGATCTGTATGCGATGGTTATACCTGTCACTAACAATGATCTGTCTCATACTGTTCACACAAACCCCAGCTAGAGAGTCAAACTCTCCCTCCCCTTGTCCATAGGAGCCAAACGTCTTCAGAAACCTCCCACGTTTGTCAAATATTTGCAGCCTGTGATTACTGCTGTCAGCTACAACTATATTCTCATTGTCAGGAAAAATGGCCACACCTCTCGGCCATGTGAACCTATTGGCATCTGTCCCTCGTTGACCTATCTTCAAAAGCATCTCTCCTTTACTTTGATACCCATTTCTGGGAGAGGCAATCACAGAACTATCGCTGGTGCTGTAGCGGAATGATATAGCTGCACGGTTCACATCCTCCGTCTCCTCAAGAATTTCAAGGATGCTGTCATCCAGTGGAATGTCAAATGTCACAGGGGTTCTGTACCTTCTCGCCTGCGTACCATCCCTTGGGGACCTCTCATCCGCCTCAGTGGTACCTTGACTAGCATCCTCCAACACAAATGTCCTTTCTCTAATTCTTGTCTCAACTGTACCATTTGGTACAGAATCTCTGACTGGTTGTGGGCTCTGCCTTGTAATCTGACTGGCTGTCTGGTTTGAAGCTGTTGACCTATTAGTCCTTGGGAAAGTATTTGCTGCTCCCTGAGTGTTCCTACTAATATCATTCCTTTGTCTATCCCTTGGGATGACATTATTATTCAACTGCCTTGGACTATATGTACTGCTGGCACCCCCTCCCATCATACCTGCAGGCCTATCATCATTACCACTGTATGTATTCCGTGCCCTGTTGAGAAGTCTCTGTGCATTATTTGTGTTCACTGAAGCAGTGGCACTTGGCCTACTTAGAGCAGTCTCCAAACCACGGCTCACTAACTGATGATTCTGTCTTGGGGACAACCCATCAACAAGATGGTGACTTCCCACATATAGAGCATACGAGCCTCTATCTACAGCTCTTGGGGATATCCTGCTGCCTGCAGCATTGGAACCTCCACTAGCCTGACCTGAGTGACCTTGACCTGACTGACCTTGCCCTGAGCTAACTTGACCTTGATTACCTTGACTTAACCTTGACCCAGTATTAGAATTGCTTGTACTTAATTCAGAATTTGTATTACCATAAGCATGCCTACTACTGGGTCCATTGGCTGATCTTGTGCTTGTGGCAGAGACTACAAGCTGTCCCAGGTTCATTATGTGAGAATGAAGGGGTTGCGACTGGACCTCTAGCCTCATTTGTCTCCTGGGGACAGACCCCTCCTGTGTTGCCTCCTGCAGCTGGTCCAAATACTCCTGGCACTGCCTCTTCATGTTGACAAGGTCGAGGTCGGGGACAGCACTGTTGTCCCTGTTCAGGACATCCTCTGTAGCATCACAGTAGCTGGACAAACTGGCCAGTTCCACTTCCATGTTTTCTTGATGGAGTCGCTGTGATCTAGACTCAGCCTGAAGGAAGGTGTCCACCTCACTGTGCAGCATACGCTCTCTGTCTCTGAGGGCTTTGATCTGAAGTTCTATCACCTGGTCAGAGAAATAAAACAATACTGATATATGTGAAATCTATATAGTGGAAATCATTTGTTTTTAATTTAATTTGCAAATTTTTCATGTAAAAGAATTTTTTTAACTAGAATTTCACAAACTTTCATGGCAACAATACTTGTACATTTAAAGTATTGGTCACTATCTTAATGAAAAACCTTTAAAAATAATAATAAAGGCAAATAAAACAGTGGTAAAAATGCTACTTTAAAATATTCCTTTTAGTACCTGAGTTACTTCAGACTTGAGGGCATCAGCCCTCTGTTGAATATGAGTGGTGGTCTGCTCCACCCTACCAATGCAATCAGAGAGCTTGGGTACACCACGTCGCATTTGGTTAACGAGGCGTCCCACCTCATGTTTCAGCTGATTGACATGTGACCTTTGACAGTTGCCGCAGACTTGCTTGTTACAGTGAGCGCACCTAACTAGAGCTTCTGCAGCCTCTGTTTCACAAACCTAAATTTTGAAAACACCATAGACTCTGCCTTTAACTTTACAGTTTTCATGCATTTGAATTATATAATAAAATAAATCAAAATACAATTTACAGTGCGAAGTAATTGTCATAGATCCATATTTAATATATGATTTTATTTTTTCTAACACATTTCAAAATTATTAAAGACGTATTCTAATGAAAAATAAACAATAATTAATGACCAATTTCTTTCAAATTGTGAAAATGAAATAAAACTAAATACAGTACCCGTTTAACCTACCTGACAACTAGAAGAAGAGGTCCTCGTTTGTTGGTTCCCATTTCTAGCAATATCAAGGAAGCTTAAAATGAACCTATTATTGGGCAGAGATCTGACTCCACTTAATGGTAGAAAATGTTCAGATCGACACTCTGGGCATTTCAGCACCCTGGACCCAGCTGTCAGCAATCCCTCCAGACATGGAGACTCACAGAAGGTATGCTGGCATGGAAGAAGTTTGGGATTGCGGAAGCGGTCCAGACAGATAGCACATTTGAGCAGTTCGTCGATCTGCTCTGCAGAATACGGAACATCACTCATTTTATGTTCTTGTGTTGTTCATTTACATTGTACCAGTGTTTAGTAAATGTTCACATCTTCTGTATGCTGTGGGTTCTAGACATACATAGTTTGTTTATTTGTTGTTCTTAGAATATGCAATACCATTCATTTGAATAGCAGGAATAATTGGGGTGGGAATAATTTAAAGAAAAACAAATTGACACCTGTTTGCCTGGAACCATTGTGGGAGGAATTATGCTCCATAAACTTACAGAGCACACAGGGGGCCAAAGTAATTAATGGTTTGAGTCATTATAATCGCTCAATCAAACATGGTGATATGTATTCATCTTCCTTCACTATGACTGGATACATGTACTAGTATGCCCCATGCTGTCATCCATATTGTAAGCATACATGAATTCCTCAGTGCCAACTGCTGGCCATCTGTGTCCCTATGTAGATTACATAGTTATTTTGTTAAACGACTGATGTGTGGCTCCCTGAAGAAAAAAAAATGAATCATTACATCAAAATTTATGACCGTTTGTACATACATGTACATACATGTAAGTTGACATTACAAAGTAATATATATCAGATAATAACGAACAATCACGCGTTTGCCATTTTAGTTTTATTTATATTTCTATGCATGCTACGTTAGCACATAAAGAACACATTAAAAAAACCTAAACAAGTGTGCTAGCGCATGCATTTTCGTGTTATTAGCGAATGCAAATATGTTTACGGTTCCTAGGCTACAGTCTATTTGAAATGCTGTCCGCCCTAGTGCGAAAAAAGTACATATTATTATTACGACAGCAGACGAATAGCATGAAAGTTCACTTGTGTTTTGCATAATTAAACTTGTACTCTCAATCACAGAAATTACTTAGGTTGATATTTTCGCTCACATTTATTCACCGGAATGTCTGATGTTTACATATGCTCTCCGTGCGCAGGTACTTCATTGTCGTAAACTTTTGACCACATAGTTAACACGTTTTCCTGTGAAAACAGACAAAATACAATATGCAAAGAAGTAAAATAATTTAAACAAGTAAAATCAATCACTTTAGTTGCTGTAGTAATAATTTCAAGGTATGTTACAGTGGTGTTGTTTTTGCGACATTAACCAGATAAACACAACATCACTTCCGGAAGCGTGGCAGAACTGGAGAAATGGTGAGTTTTACAATATTGTGCTGCAATTATTCATTCATTCATAGGATTGTAAAATTTTAGTCATATTTTCATGTAATACTTATCATGCCCTTCAACGTTTACAAATCGTAACCTGGATTAGACTGAGAACTTGATTGCCGGATAACTTTGGAACCGCTGTCAGTGTCACTGTCCAGAGCTAATTTTGTGCACTGCGTACAGCATACTTATACCCTGCTGCAGTACTAGCACTACGTTCGATATGGAGACGTACCCATGATATCATAAAGTCTGATTAAACAGATTTTAAAAATACATGTTTTAACCGCATAATTGTGGCACGAAACATATTGTGACCTTTAAACGCCCATTAATGTCGTATTATTAATTTATATCATACAATTTAACGAATAATTATTTCATGTAAACATTCATTAAATTTGTTCTTTAATTATTAATATTTTATTTTATCATCAGTTTTCTTATAAATATAACTTGTCACTGTATGTAGTGGATTTTGATTATCCTCAATAACACATTTCACATTTCTGTCTGAGAAATATTGTTAAAATAATGATAAGCAACCACTCTTACATGTATAACATGTGTCAAGTCTGCATTGTTGTTAATATTAATAATTATTAATATGTAATGTAGGATGCTGGTGTACAAATTATTGGATTTAAGTACCTAGTTTTGGTCTCTTCTTTACACCTGTTATGAACAATCTGCCGAATACATAATAATATTATATATTTATTGTTTTATGTGTTGTAAATAGGCCTACTTGAAAAAATGTTTATCACAAGACGTAATGAATATATGGAAGTTGTATCCCCTCTTCTCACTTGCCTGTAACTTGGTTTCAGGAGTTTCAGATTTAAGTAGAAAAGAAAATATTCTGTAGACATTAATTAATTGATTGTGAAATCTTAACCTCAGTGAAAAATGCTGTCTAACAACATATTCAGAAAAGTAATTGCCTGTATCAAAATTGCATGCATGCTTTTGTTTATCATTGTTTGAGAAAGCAGGACAAATGTTCAAAATAAATTGTCTTGTTAATTCCTCACTTTATAAAGCTAAGGGAGGTCCATTTAGTTTGGGACTCTCTACTATTGTAAGTTTTACTGGCAAGTGGTGAATATAATATAACATATTTATAACATACTAGTATAGTATTTGTCCATAAAAATTGTGGTCTTTTACAATCATCTTTTTAGCATCTACTCAACATGCACAAAAGGTTAACATAAAATTGTGATGCAGTTTTATCTGGTATTTGTAAACATAGCACAGTATTGGCTATTGCACACATATTAGAGTAAATATTATAAGAAACACCATATGGTAGAGTTGATTTAAGAATTTATGTGATATAAGAGGATTTATATAGAACAAGGTGAAGTGCACTTGATCTCACAGACTTTGGCCTGAATTATTTTTGATAATGCAAATATATTTCACTTGTATTTGAAAAAGAAAAAGAGCCTTCAAAGTTAATTTAATTTATCTTTCATGTGGTGAAAGCCTTTATCAAAGATATGTGTTATCTGGGGATGAATTCCATTTCAGTCATCAATGTCTTTAATATTTTGTCATGTGATGTGTCCAGGTGTTATATAACTTCCCTGCCCCAGGGCCAAAAGTATCCCTCCCCCTAGTACTATCTCCCACCCCTTTCTGAAAACCCTCAACTCGGCATTAACATTTTCTGTGAAATTAGTTCCAATATAGTAATTTACTACAATATCTTTGTTTAAACGTCATTGTTGGAATTATAAACATTAACATTTTTAAAAAGATTTTTTTAATTACAAGTAGTCATTAAAGAATGTCATCTGTTGAATACTTCACTTGAGAAATACATTTTTAATAACTTTTTAACCCCAAAACTAATATGGTTATTGTGGTTACATGTGGTAAGGAAATATGGCAATCAGAATTTTTCTTAAAACCACTACACACTTATATCTGTGTGAACATGGAGCACGTGTCAGCTAAGAGGACATTGGCCAATATTCCAGTTATGAAAACAGATAAAAGAAAAAAGTGCATCCCATTTTAACAGACAAAAGAGAAGTGACCAGAAATTCTGCACAGGCTTCTGTGGGCCATTGTGACCTACAAAACTCCCACCC